ATTTAAGAGGTCATAATTAGTTAAGTATGTATAATTATAGGATTGAAATTCATCAAAATTTAAGGTTACAAATATGTATAAAATATAAACTTACAAATAAAATGGTCTGGCTTGAAATGGATAAATGAGACACTCAAGATTGCATTTTTTAATTTATAGTAAAACTTCAATAAATGAGTGTTAAATAAATTAATAACTTCGCTTAAATAATAGAGTAGTGTTATTTAGCACCGCTGTTGCTTAACATCAGTTTAGGTGACGATTAAATGTCATTAAATGGTAATTTTATTTAAATGTAAAGTCAAAGCATCCATTTAATTGCAGAGTGTGCCACTTAGAATTATTATAAATAATAAGGTAAAATATTATATATTAGTTTAGTGAACCGTCTCAACAATTGACACTTGCATTAATGTATAAATGAGACATTCGAGATTGCATTTTTTAATTTATAGTAAAACTTCAATAAATGAGTGTTCAATAAATTAATAACTTTGCTTAAATAATAGAGTAGTGCTATTTAGCACCGCTAGTGCTTAACATCAGTTTAGGTGACAATTAAATGTCATTAAATGGTAAATTTATTTAAATGTATAGTCAAAGTATCCATTTAATTGCACATACTGAGTATGGTCGCTTAGAACGGTGCTAGCTAGCATTATTATAAATAATAAGGTAAAATATCGTATATAAATTTAGCAAACCGTCTCAACAATTGACACTTACATTCATAATATAATGGGAAGGTTTAGATAAAATATAATTATCAAAAATTGAAAACGTCGGGATGAGAATGAACTATATGAAAACTTATGAATTTCGACTGACTTTGCAGCACTAATGAATGATCGAAATGAAAAAAAATAAAATGGAGTGACAAACAAGATAAAAGAACAAGATGATCTAGATTTTTTTAGTACTTAAACACGTTCTAGTGGATTTAATTAGGAAAAATTGTTCTAACAATCTTGAATTTGTATTTAATTATTTTGCGATTTGTGCTTTTGCATTCAATTTTTTTGGGGTAAACAAAATAATAATAATAATAATAAAGAAAGAAAACATGTTTAATATCAAACTTTAGTGGCACCTTAATCACTAAACTTTAATTTGTTTCAATCATTAATATTTTATTCAGCGAATTTGATCTCCCACCGGATTTGATCTCTTGAACAGGACAAGAGTAATCATCGTCCATGTGGCAACATGTGGTGTAGCCACGTCATACCCATTGCTAACGTGGCAACACCACATGTTACCACACCCACGGTGTGAATTATAACTCCAATCCACAGTGGACATAAAATCATGTTTTATTTATTCAAAGCACTTCTTTAGTTTGACGTTCATTTCTTTCACTCCTTAATATTTATCTAAGAGTCTGTTTGAGGCAAATTATTCCTTCATTTTTAGAAAAAAAAGAGTCGTTAGTTTTGAAATTCGCCCACCATTTTTGACTAATTGTCTCACATGTGGGTCCCACTCCCTTATCCGACGGTAGCTTTCTTTCTACTATGGGTTAGAATAATGCACCCCAAACAGGGGCTAAGCAAGAATACTGTGGACAAATTTTCTTTAAAAAATTTAAAATAATATGATGCCATCCATATCAGTCACTACGTTCGATATTGAAGATGGGATCGAAGAATTCACCAATACTATAATTGCAAAAACAGAGTTACGAGGATCACGAAGAAGTTACTAAATTCTAACTCAATAGTACATGTGAAAATAACTATCTTTTTAACTTTAAACAACTATATCTTCTGATACGCAAAACACGAAGCAAACTATATTTCCACACAACCGCTACGTACCTACGTTGTACACCGGGACAATGGTTATATCATGAAAATTAAATTAATTTAAATACTAATTGCAGATTAGATGCTGAAACAAGCAAATCGCGTGCACATACCATTCATCTGACTTGATCTTGTCTGCAATACAGAAATGTATAGAGAAAACCGGCCGGCTGCATCTGATGTCTTCAATATCAGCTTCTGTTAGATCTACTCCTATCCATTTGAATAGTTCTTGGATCCAAGGTGGACAGTATCTGGGGCATTGACATGCCACCCGATACAACAATTTCTGTGAGCAAGGAACAAAGTCAAAAGTCGGCAGATAATATTGATAGTAACTACTATATATAGTATCAGTTATCCACAAAGAATGACATTTAAGTTTGTCCTCAGACTCTTATCCACAAAGAACGACATTTAAGTTTGTACTCGGTCTCTTCAAACAATATCACTTTATGTTAGAACTAACGTAGTAACACTTGCATCTCAATATAACCCCTCTCACCCAACAACAGTGTACACCACCAAAAAAAAAAAAACCCAAAATACAGGAAATTAGTACAGAATAATAAAAAGAAGCACTCAGTGAAGAATCTTGATATCATCTGTGGCTAGCGTGTGAAGGCGGATTTTTAGTGAAGACTTAATTGTTCAAAGGTAAAAAGTCAAATTCGGAGGAAAGATTAAGTACATTCTTTAACAAACAGCAAGTAATCATGGTAAGTAAAGAAACGGAACTCTTACCAATTCCTTCCCGGACAGACAAGTTTGGTCTTATAACGTCTTTGGCATTGACCAAAAAAATGTCACCGATATATAGATGGTTTGTTGGGACATATACACAGCATAGCTCTTCCTCTGCCGCATAATTCTGAAATGAGAGAAAGATAAAAAGAATTCTGAACTCGAAATCAAGATTATAATGCAACAAGTAAGCAAATGTAAAGTCAGCCTCTTCTTTTACAGGTGAAAATGTTCTAGCATGTTTGATGGGTCAATCCTGTTGTTTCTTAAATTTTGTTTTACAAATAGGGCATGCAAGCTCGTTGCTTCAAGAGAAATGGAAAAGGAGTAAAATATTTAGAATTGTCCTAAAACTGTAGAAACTAAAAATATTCACCATTTTTCTGTTTTCTTTTTTATTTTTTCTGGACAAGCTTGAGGTAGGGGAAGAAAGATGGTGGAAGCAATGGGAATCCGGTGGATCAAGCCTAACCACATTCTGCTAGGTTAAAACAAATCAAGCACATCAATCCAATTCAGTCCTAATACAGAACTATTTGACAAGCAGAAACCCAATAGCCCTTGTAAGGTACTTCATAAAGACAAATCAACAGACGTGCATCTGATGCTGAAAAGCGGAAATCTTCGAACCATTTTGAATACCACGCAATTGAATATCAGAGGACGTTTCTCCTAAAACTAACATAAAAGATTTATTTAGCATCAAGATTCAGCATAAGACGGTGAACCAGATAACAAAAAGCAAATCAGCAATAGCACTGATATAAGAAATGGTTTAGACAGATTTCCTAGTCGAGGAGATGATATAGAGCATGTCTGGCCAAGCCTAAAAGTTACTTTTCTAGAAAATGTAAGATCTGCTCATAGCAAGTTTTGTTAGTAAAATATGCAACTTTGAAAAGGAAGTATAAACTTAACATTAACTTCTTTTTAAGCTTAGACAAAGGTGGCATCAGGCATGAAAGTGATGGCACACCTGGAGCGTGACAGACGAAGTGATGAACCCAAATGCATATTCACCAATACGTGGATGCCTTATAATGGCCACTTCCTTGAAAGCCTGAGTGTTCTGATCTGCAATAATATTGTGAAGAAACATTCATCCATGAAAACGAGAAAATTGAAATAGAGAACCAAAGTAGTCAAAATCAATAAATAAATAAATAAAAGCAAACCAGGAGATATCGCAGCACTAATTTGCTTGGAGGCACTGTAAATATGACGAACAAATGGCATACGCTTGATGAACCATTCCCCAAGGCTTAAAACAGATGCCCCCAACCACGATGACATGAATACTCCAACCAAGAAAATAAATGTAATAGAAGTAACAAATCCTAGACCTAAATCAAGGAGAAGGAGCAAGAGTTAGCCGACAGATATAGGAAATATAATCATTGAACAAGACTTTTATCATAAAGAACAGATAAGACAATCAACGAACTGTAAGGGGAATTCACAATTATGACAGTTGCAAAAGTTACACAACCAACATTTTACTTGAATTTGTTTGTAATTCCACATGCTCAAGCTTAAGAACTGTTATGATAACACAACTAGAATAAAGGACATACTCGTACTTTTGGGCATTAGAAGAATGTATCATAAGCTTACCAAAGATGTCAATTCCAAGCTGCGCGTAAATCGGTGAGAAAAAGCCATCCACAAAGTGAATAAACCACCATGTTATATAGAAAGTGATAGCTATTGGGAAGAGGATGACACTGCAAATTGACATAGTAAGTAACAGCTACAGCAGTAAAGAGCACATAGAGCATCAAGAGTAAATTTACGAGGAAAAGGAATTAAACGTTAACATAATATCTGTCTGGCAATTTTATTATGAAAAACAAAAACTGTGGCAACAATTTCAATTTAGAAAATGTGACCTCAGTCACTTATGTTGAAGGATCATTGCCATGCAAGGCATTCATAGGAACCTAGACTTTAATAGAACATGGTTCACTTACTTTTCTAGTATCGTGAATAGATAATGGAATGTGTTCTAATGGACAGCATAAATGCTGATACCACTGTAGCAACCGCTAATCCAATGAAGATGATGGAATCAAACTGTATTCAACTCATTAGATCCATCGCCAAATGTAGAGTGGTAATCTCCTTTCAGATATGAGATATAACAGTATGTGCTGCAAGAATTATTCATGGACATTAGGCTTGGAGCTAAATTAGTCGTTTTTTTATCTGAAAGGAGATTACCACTCTACATTTGGCGATGGATCTAATGAGTTGAATACAGTTTGATTCCATCATCTTCATTGGNTATTTAAGTTCACTCTAGATATTCACAATACAGTTGTACCATGACAAGTCTTATCTCCTAATATATCAACCTCCAAAACTTATTATAGATGCGGGTATCTATAAATTTAATGAAATTGTCTTTTTAATAAATCTCAAAGCTTGCCGAGTCTTTCTCCTTTCAGATATCAATACAAAATTCCTATTTATTAGTATATCAATGTACTTGAATAGGTGTCCACATTAAGTGATCCTACTTTATTATGCAAAAAAAAGTGAGAAAAGAAAAACTATTTCGAAAAGACAATAAGATAAAGCCTGATAAATTAATAAAAATTAAAACTAAAACTGATATATTTAGTGCAGATGGATCAATAAATAAATGGCAGTAATTATATCTCAAGCGCAAAGTGCGTATAGCAGATCAATAGAATGATAAGTGTGCTCACCACCCAGTCATAAACTTCTTCGAAGCCCAGCTCCTGACAACTTTGTAAAAAGTCTGTAGAGTATCAACGAAATACAGTATTTTTCAGACCACGGTAAACATTTAGATGCAACCACTGGGACAAACAATACAATCATATAAGGGACCTCGGGGAATATGAAATTTGGATACAATTTTATTTGAATATTGATACTACAAGGCTCATCCCCTGTATGTGCATGCAAAAACACAAATACAGAAAGCGGAAGCTAGTATGAGCACATTTGATCAACAATGAGATAAACTAATATTAATTATCATCACGTCACAGTCACAGTCACAGGGAAAGAAATATAAATGACCATAAAGCTAAGTGTTAACCAAGGAGCTGTAATAGGTAGATAAAATAAGCTAAAATCCCTAACACTATGCCACAATCAATGACTTGCATTTATTGTGAAAGAAAAGCAAATGTCAACACATGAGAATTGCAATTGTTTCCTTTTGACATTAAGCTGTTTCAACTAGATTATGTTTGCTATTTCTGATTAGGAGAGAAATTCAATCTCTTCCAGGAGTAATCCATGAGAACAAGGCAAGACAATATTGATATTCAAACCATCAAAAATTACTCTCTCCCCTTCCTCTTAGATTAACCAAATAAGCAGTCGCCAGTCAGTATAATCTTAATCTAATACTGCAAATTTCTAAACGAATCCCAACATGAACCCAAAACTAATTATTTCTTCAACAGTCTCAATTCTGTAAATCAAACAACGGAGGAACGACTTTACCCCTATTTTCTTAAAACCCATAAACTAAAAAAAAAAGAAACAAAAAAACTCCTGGAGCCATAATATACCCAACCCATCAACACAATCTACACATAGAACCATACCTCGCGGCCTGAGTTTTGGTGAGAAGCGGAAGTGGAAGATAAGGGTTTTGAAGAGTCATCATCATGATGGTGATGGTGGTCAATGGAGTCAGCCACTGGTATCAAAAGCTCTCGATCTCTTTCTCTACTGTTGTTCCCGACTACCCCCACCATAATTTCCGATTTCTCATCTCCCATTAGAAAAAAATTACACACTAACTCACGGTTTCCTCTCTCTAGTCTACTAGTCCAAGAATTTCAGCATTTCCCTCTCTCTCTCTCTCCTCCCCCTGTGAAATCTAGCAGTATTTATTTATGTAAATCCAAATTAGAAATATTTTTATAGTAATTATATAGTGTAGGAAATGTTGGTTTTGCGGGTTTATATGCGACGATTTCAAGGAAATTAGAAATACGCGTTGTCTTTTTTGTCTGCCTTCTGAATTATAAAATGAATTTAACGTAATATTCAACGTGAAGGTTATGGTTCGGTATGACGACGATGAGTTGGTTCATGTGAGCTGTCACCAATCATGAAATGCCAGCTTTAGGGTTGTGTTCCTTTCCAATTTTAGTATTTTATCTTCCTTTCACTTGCAAGAGTTTCTTTACCAAATTTTTGTTTGTTTAGTGAATTTTGTTCACTTAGTGTCCTACCCTCTACCCCTTTTATGAGCTCCATTTCTTGCCCATATGGAGGTGGCATTATGTCGAGACGGCACTATGTATGATACATAGGGCTTAAACTTCGACCATATTTATAAGTAGGGCATAGCTCCTTGACTTGATTCGGTGTTTTTTTGGTTCGATTTTTTACCTCTTCATGTGTTGAGTCAGGTTCGAATCTCGGATGTTGGTCCAAACCCCACTACGTGACCACAGCCTATTACATTAAAATATAAACGAATATCAAAAAACGATAGAATTAAAATGAATCGCTTATCAAGTTCACATAACTCTGGAAATAAGATCAAAATCCAGGCCGGACGAACTCTAAAACTGATGGTAGATTCTGGGCTTCAAAGCTCCTGTACAAGAATGTTCCTCGAATATCAACCAACCATTAACCTACTATATTTGAAAATCAATTACACAGCTCCCAAGCTTCTCTGCAGCCTCGAGTTCTGGAAGTATCCCCCACGTAGAAGATTGTAGAATAGTTTTCGAATTTGTCTCTGATTCTATAGGTTCCTGCAATTTACCATTGTCATGGTTGCCATGCCTTTCCATTGTAAGCTTAACCTGGTTTTTCTTCCGGGTATTTGAGTGAGATATTTGTGATTCTGTATTGACACAAGTAAGTTTATCAATGTCTCTTCAGATATCGCCAAAACAAGAAACAAGAAGGTTCATTATTGAAATTGTAAGAGCATAAACCTCCATCCAGCCCTGCTGCTAGGCTTGAGTTTGCACGCGTGATGCATAACCATGTTCTTTGGTCCTCGTGTTCAACTTCCGATACAATTGGAATATGCCAGTGGCCTCTCTCTGACTCCTATCAAGTTAAAGCATCAGTGACATTAGTTCAGATATCAGTAACTTCTCTCTTTTTTGTCAGCCTCAAGGATATTACATCTGCCTGTACAAATCATATTCTTAGATGAAATTCGTTTCACCCCTGTAGTTTGCAGGTAAGTCAACTTGTAGACAGTTTTATCAAAAATAGGAAAAGAATGGGTTTCTCATCCAACCTAATAAGGCAAACCAAAAATATGCACATCATTCACATTCAGGTTAATGTCAAAAAGAAGATACATGCCCTTGAATCTCCTTTTAACAAAACAAACGAGCGTCAATACTCACCTGTATTACAACAGAACATGGAGGCGGCATGAGGAAAACTGGACCAGTTTCAGAAAATCTGAAATGAACCTTCCATTAATAAAATCAAGATGCCTTGTTAGAACAATTGAAGATCGTGTAGGAGTAATGTGCATTTATGATAATTCTCATGATCAATACATAGATGATTATGCATATCAAAGGGCAAATAAGCTTTCAGAGTAGGACATATTATTGTACTTCATTTATTAAAACAAAAGATTAGAAATTAATCATGGTACAAAGAAATTTATCTTATAATCAAATATATAAATGCTCACCTGATGTCTTTCTTTCCATTTAGGAAAAAAATCATTTCCCAAAAGTTGAAATAAGTGATCTCTCATTTCGTCATTGGTAACAAGTAAGCATCTAAATTTTATAGCTGCATATAACCAGTACCTGTAGAACAAGATAAGTTTCACAATAATCCAAATACTAAAACATCGTAAGGAATTGAAAGTTTTAACATTGAAATGTAGTTTTCACCAATCATCATTTGATCCGGTAGGTGTTGCATAAAGTGCATCCGCATTTTTCCACTTGTCGATTATTGCTCTATTGAGAGGTTCATCCATCTTCTCCCCCATAATGCGCCTATTATGCAAGACAATAAGTGGCCATTTTCTTGAAGGAAGCATCTGGCGGATTCCATTCACTACCGCATTTATCTAGATATGACATAGCATTGAGAAGAAAATAAAAAATAAACTGAGAAACGGAGCACTAAAACTGTTCTATACTTCACCATCATACCACTTGCCTTAGATGGTTTAAATCTTCTTTGGCTATAAAGGCCAATATTTGCTCCATCCACAACTGCTTCAAATGGACCATAATAGTCGAGCCACTTCTGCAATGCAGTACACCATTCACTTAATTAGAGATTCATAGGATGTAATAAATAAATGATGAATACTTAGGTACATTACGTACTTGAAATTTCTGGAAGCTTGAATGTTTTTCTCTCTGTGCAGCTAAAGCTGCCACTGACTTGGCAAAATTTTCAGTTTCTACGGGATCAAGGTCAATAGTGACTAATTTTTCGCTGCAACATTTGCATAAGCCATCTGATCCAACAAGTGTGCGAGAGACGGTCCATTTTCCTTTACCCAACCAACCCTGTCCATGCCAGCCACCTCCTCCGTTTTTGATTGCTTCAATAATGAATTCTTTATCCCATTTTCTTTTACCCACTCTTGTAGCTATCTTGCTCTTAAACCACATTTCAATTAAATCTGCCGTAGCTAGTGAAACCTGTCTCAAACTCGTTCTAAGTTTATGCAACAAATAATAGACCTTGTCACTCTTTCCAGCCTCTATGCTTACTTTCATAAGTGCCTTGAGCTCAGGCTCCTCTGGATATACACCATGTTCTAACATGTGTTTTTCTACCATAAATGCCTTATCAACATCTCCTTTACTGCAGAAAACAGCTAGAGCAGGGCCATATGATCTCAGTCGAGGATTTATCCCGAATTCCTTCATTTGTTTAACCATATCAAATGCCAAGTCACCATCACCCAAGGACATAGCCATTCTGGCCACGGATGTAAATGTGGCTTCATTCATCGGAACCTTTTCCATACGCATCTCCTTGTGGATTTCAAATCCCTTCTGGAGTGCCAATCTCTTTACATCCTCACTCACTTGAATTTCATAACCTGTTTTTTCATCTCTATCATCTTTAATATTTAAAGCTACAGCAGCTTTCTTCTTCATCAGTTGAACAAGTCCATCCAAAGTTTCTGGGTGAAGCTGCATAGTCCCATTTGAGAAGTTTTTCCCATCGTTTTTTCCATCAAAACTCTTACTCGAATCACCTAATGATACTTCAATAGGATAACCATTAATAGTTTTATGATCCTGTATATTCAATTGAATTCTATCAGAATTTCTTTTGGCCACTTCTCCCATATCACTCAAATATTCAGAACCCAAACTAGAATTCTCCTTAGACAGGTCAACTTGACTCAAACTCCGGCTACCACTCCCACTTTTTGCCGGCTGGACAAACCCAGTAGCTGCAGATGAACAAAGATACAACAGAACAGCATAATGGTACTGGGACAACTTTATTCCATCTTTCTTTGCCAATTCATACAGCGTAATTGCCCCCATTATATCCCCCCTTTTCGAGCACATATCGAGCCCAACTCTAAGGGTTGCTTCAGGTGTCTCCACTTTAGTCTTTCTAGACCCCGTCTCTGTCTTTTCCACTTCCACCTGATTGCTTTTGTCTTTCTTGAATCTTCCGCCTATATTCTCCCCATCCACTTTACTCCTACCCTTACCAGTTTTTCTTGCTAATTTTGTATCTCCAGAGCCCATTGTTCTTCTGTTCTTGGAATTAAATCCATTTTTTGAATGTCTATCCCTAAGTATGACTCTCCGCTCAACAGGTTCGTCCATGGTAATGGTAGAAGGAGGGGTTTTCTCAAAATTTATGCCAACCCTTTTGTTAACACAAGAAAAAGAAGAAAGCCCGGAACCCTTTTCATCATTATGACTATAATGGGTGGTTCTTGGGAGCTGTAGCGCTGTGTCACTGGACGAACTACCGGGTTCCAAACGTGTAGTAATAACTTGTGCTTTAACTGGTGAAAATCTTGAGTGGAGAGTGTGTTTTGTGGGTAAAAAAGTAAGAGTTCGAAAGGAGAAGTGGAATTTAAAGTACTTACAGTGAGTGAACGAAGAGAGTTGGAATTCAGTTCGTTGGTGTAGAGGTTTGAAGGTGGAGGAGGCCATGTGTGGCCGTTATAGAAGCTCTCTATCAATGTCGGATTGTACATATAATAAATAACTTTAAATGACACTACTACCCTTCCTTAATCCCGACAGTTCGAAATTTCGCTTACTGGTTTGAGGATAAGGTGTTCCCTCGGAACAATTTCCAAAAGAACGACGAGGTTGGAGAACGGAACCACAACCTGGGGAAGGTTCGGAAAAAGTCCTTGTGCAAAAAGGTAAATGCGATCCTCAGAATTAACATCCTCGAGTCGAACCTAAACAGAATTTATTGCCGATCACACACGATTTTGATGTAACTTATTGCACGATCACACGCAATTTTGATCTAACTTAAAGCAATAAAAAAATAGTTTTAAGTTAATTGACGTTTTCTCTCTCTAACTCTAAACCGCGTAAAAGTCAGGTCCAATTTTAACAACTTCATTGACGATTTATGTAAAATAGAAGAATTGAGTTAATTTTGATACTCATATTTGACTTTCGAAAATTAATGACATATAGCCACACCACATGAAAGGTATGGAAAGTCCGATTAAACTTGCTTTTGAAAGATGCGATCTTTCAAAGTAAGCTACCTGCTACCCTATCCCCCATTTCCATCATCACACCACTATGTTACTGTTTCTTCTGATTTTCCTTGGTGTTCCTAGAGAGTTTCCGACCGAGGAATGTAAGCGAAGTGTCGTCTAATGATTTTTCAACCCAAAACTAATTTGGTTTGATAACTTGTATAGCCTTATAACCTAATGATGTCTAAAATATGTGAATCGAGTATTGAAGAGTTAACGGGACACACCACCCTCGGTGCAAAACAAGAAGGCTCAAAATGGAGCAATCGAATACCCAGAGCAGATTACAGACAACAGAATCATCTTTTATAATCGAGAACCCACCTGGCAGTCTGGCACCCATCTTTTTTTTGAAGTAAAGTGGTGTAAAAGAAAAATACAATCTAACAACCAGTTTGGATGGCAGAGAAGCCAATGCCAAATTGTCCAATTAATGAAAATGTTCGTGTTAAATAGCGATGTAAAACGAGTCACGTAACCAATAAGCAACACTACGTAAGAACTCAGCAGATTTTAAGGCATAGCACAATCTACGCAAAAGAGAAATAATTAATCATACAACTGCAAATTCTTACGGGACGGAGTCTACATCAAACTGACACTGTTGATGGCAACAAACGAGCAAAGACGAGCCTTATTGTCCTGCAGTTGGCTACTGCAAATTTCTATAAAGGTCCTGAAAACAGCATTTTGAAGCAACATAAAGTAATTCCACAAGTTTTTCGGCCAACCTTCACTGTAAACTCTTGGAGGGAGGTTCATAAACAAAAAAATAAAACAAAAAACAATTGTTGAAATTAACAAGATAAATAAGCAAACTCCATCCAGGCACATGTTATTACAAGTTCACAAAAGCATTTGAAGGTTTTGGAGTATTATAAGTCAGCAAAGAGAACTGTGACCTAGATTCCTATCCATCAGAAAGGAGCCCCACAAGGACTGGACCTGAAGATGCTGTCATAAAGGCATTGAAATGCCTGCAAAATTATGAAAAGAAAGCATTAATTACACAAATGTTTGGAAAATGTGTGTGAAGAAATCATGAAATTTTAACAAGAGTTTATTGATGCGGCAAGCTGAATATTGCCTCCAAATTGCATATTATTTTATCTGATGCTAGAAGGGTGTTGCAATATTTTACAATACAGTAGGTGCAATAATTAGAATTAATCATGCAGCATAATGGAATCATTATCATTAAGAAGAAAAGCTGGGATCAGCAGTTATTAACTCTAACCCAATTTAAGAATGTGATGTTTATAAAGAGATCTGATAATATAACAACTATTTTATTATAATAATTAGAACCTTCTTTAGTCTCAAGAACATAATCCTCAACGTAAAATCTCAATGTATTAACAAGAACATGCAGTGCATGCATAAAGAAGAATTATTAGTATCACGTCCACTTTGGGAGTCATTGTTTTCCTACAGTAATGTACATTAAAATCAGCCATTTACATGTATAGAAAAATGAATAGCAAATTTCAAGGATGTAAGTGGGAGCATGAGGCAGGGATTACGGTAACGAGAGCAAGGAGTTTTTTGGACAATTTTGTTACCAGAATGTGGTAACATCCGAAGACAGCGGCAGAGAAGTTACTTTGCAGTGGTTGAACTCTTAGGTAAGTTTATCAATGTTTGTAGCTAAATAGGTGGATGTCCATGCTATTTAAGATCTGAGGCTCTGATGCATGCACTGACAATGCAAAAGCCTTTTTGTTGGTTTGTTAGCCAATGAAACACATGAGAAAGATGCACAAATGACCTTATGAAAAGCGCCACAAATGTAGGCAATGATTATTGGCTAGTGAAACTCAAGGTTTCATCGTACCCTACAATATTCTTCTACTTGTCCAAGAGCCATTAGCTTATTCTGTACAGTTCGGTGTCTCGGAATTGTAAAAGAATTTTACTGTGGTCACTCACAGTAATAGTCACCATTGCAACCACGAGTGTGTATGATGTCTGTAACACAAACTCATGATCACAAGTAATTATTTGCAGTGAGCCAGTGAGTGACAACAGCATCCTTAACCGAAAAATAGTTTCATTTCACAAAAGCAGCTTTCAACCTTGCTTCGGTTTACTTGTCTTCTGCTCAAAGGCTTGACCCCCACACTTTCACGCAGTCACACGTTTTTTGGGATTTCAAAATGTAAGTTTTCTCTCAGTTGAAACCAATGTGCAAAGTTCAATTAAAATATGGAAAGGATTTCAGACGGTGATCATCTATACAATTCAGGAATAATTTCATTAGTCAGTGACCAGTCACAACAAAAGGTCGACGCCATCGAATTTGGAGGAATGACTCCTGCTTTTCCAAGCATAAACAAGCTTCTGAGCAACACTCAGGATTATAGTCCCCAAGCTCTCATGATTTTGAAATAATATAAGAATTGTGTTGAGTAATATTAGTGAATTTGAATTTTTATGGTAATTTTTGAATTTTGTTTTCTTGTATGAGGATTTTTTACTGCATTGTACAAGTTAGCAGCCTAGGGTCATTTCTAAGAAGAGCATCACAGATACATTAAATAATAAAATTTAAGAATTTTCCCTCAATTATAATTCCAGACTCAGTATTCTGTGAATCAATTAGCTTTTGTTGCCTAGTCTTATGCTATTCTTAAACGTATGAACAGGAAACTAGAAGGTTTTGCGTACTTGATCATGTGTTTATTGTTTCATACACATTACCATGCATCATCCCAACCCTCTTAAACTCCTCATCCATTATCACTGTCCATCAAAGCAGAAGATATTACTTGATTGTCAAAATTTTCCCCTGATTGCAAATAAAAATAAAAAATTTATTCCCAAAAGAGAGAATGAATGAAAGATGAAAGGTGCAACTTCAACGAAGCATTAAGATCATTTTCTTTAATATTTTGTGCATGTCAAGTATCCTTATCTGTATATTGAAATTTTTCAATCCTCCATAGCATTGCTTCAACGGTTTGGTCGGAATATCACTCTGTTGACAAGACATGTTGAAGCTGTGGGAAAGATGCCGGATTGTTGTGGTTGTGATGCTCTAATCACAGAGGCTACTGCTCATGATTTAGGTTGCGGCAATGATTATACACTTGGTGACTGACTGACAAAAGCAAGGATCTGGTGGGGTGGTATAATTTGTGGATGATGTGACGAGGGTGAACAAAGTTTAACGCAGATGTGGTTGAGTTGTAGTTGGGGGTGGCGGTGATGGTGATGGTCTCTGCTATACTGGAGGATCAAAGAAAGGCATGAATTGAATCAATTGTAGTTTTGATGTTACTTTATCCCCAATCCCCAAGAGTCCTGTGTAATTCTCTTTGAAAGGTATCATGTTTTGTGATTGAGGACCTTTTTTGTTAAGAAAGAGGACCATCTATTACTCAGTAAGGAAAGTACCAGAGGTACATTCACACATGACTAACAAACATGGTCCTGAACAGAGCGTTCTTCTATCAATCTTGAGATTACACAAAATGAGAATCTTCTGTCCTGAATATGTTGTTGACTTAAAGGACTGTCCCACCTGAACTAGTTTTCGAACAATTTAAACCATTTATTATAGGTAAATGTTTATAAGGTCAAATAAGAATCATATGCTACACACAAGCGGGAGTGGATCAAATTTAATCTCCTCGATAAGTTGGAGTCCCTCTCCAACATAAGGGTTCTAAATCGAGAGAAGAATATTTACCATAGAACAAACTCATGATTGCATTTTATCAAGTATGGCTAGTCCTAAATAGAATCAAAACTTCATTGTAACTCTGAGGTAAGCAAAATAAAGGAGATTGGTCGTATATTCCTTTTCATGATGTTATATCGTTATGATAAGTCCATATCAAAGAGGCAGTCCATACTCCAAATTCTGGTACCAGGTACAAAATTTCATTCTGCATCGACGCTGCACTGTATTTCGAAATTATTAAGCAGTCTTGTACAGTTGATACATTAAGTAAACAGTTATCAATCTTCTTAGAGCATGTTTGGCTAAGCTTAAAATCAAGTCAAACTTGCTATTAAGCACCTTATTTTACCAAACATAAGTTAGCTAAAAAATAATCTGCTTCTTTTAAGACAAAAGGAGCTAAAAACTGTTGAAAAGGGGCATGTCCCTACCTTAATGTGATAAAAGGACACTAGCTTATTTTATGGTTTGACCATGTAAAAGACCTAAGTTCACGAACACATACATGGACACCCGAAACGTGATTTCTCTAAAATAATAGGAAATCGATACATCATGGACTCACAGATTTAAATTTATATATTTATTATCTTCATTTTTATAATTTTTAATATAGGAAGAAAACATGCCATATCGAACATTTGTCCGGGAGAAGTCCATAAAACATCCTTGAACAGTAGGAATTTAAAATAGGACACGCCAAGTAGCTTGTGAGGCCCATGTCATGGAGCATCCAAGAAATGTCAGTGTCCGATTTGACACAAGACGTGTCGTACAAGGACAAAAAGACCAAATTACTCCCAACATTTATCAATATTTTAAGCTCCCATCCATTGCAACATCTTACCCAGCATTCTCCATCTCCTACACAGCTACCCCTACCTCCGGTCACCGTCGCCCTCCAAAACTCCAATGTCTCCTCCCACTATTAAAACAACTTTTCCCATTTCAGTATTTCACCATCTTTCCCTTCTCCATCAAACTCCTTCCTCCACGTGAGAAGAATCCTCCGACCTCTACCTCTCCTTTCACCTTCTTTACTTGTTTTGGTAACCTCGAGCTCATTCCCCCAAACATGCTCTTAGTCAAAGCACAAAAAGGGTAAGAAGTTATTATGATAAGTAGTACTACGAGTCTACCATAATTGATTCCACAAAAAATAAGAACCTCAAATATCTTTTAAACTAGGAGGCTGGAGCAGCAATCACATTCGAAACCAATCCACATTCATCCATTATTTGCAGCTATTAATGGAGAGCTAGATGAAAACGACAAACCATTCTCCCCAAATGAAGATCAAGCTTTCTACTCCTATATCTACCAGGTAAGAGTAACATTTCCTACCTATTCATTTTTTTCTCACTCAAGGGATAAGTTGCTTTTCTCCTTCTTCATAAACTAGGCAAAAAGAAAAAGTTCACAACCAAATAAAATTAAAAAGGAATATAAGATTCGAGTTCTGGTGCTTCAGTCAACAATTATCTGTCCATATTTATCCATAGATGGCTGAGTAGGTACCTATATGCACAATGCAAGGATCCTATAATGATTCCACACTGTGGAGCACGGTAGGTACACGACATATCTGACATTGATATTTCTCACACACGTCTATTTTAAATCTCCAAACAATAAAGGACTGCCGCTAAATCAACAATAAAACTAATGTGACTTTTAACACAGTGACTGCTTAAAATATATTAATAACTAGGGACATTACTACTAAGCCACATAATCCCCAATTACTAGCTCCATATTGACTATTCACACGTCACTTGGTAGGTATTTATGAGAAATGTGGTCATATCAAATGCAGTCAAGCGAATCAATAGATTGCACAAAATAAGTTTCGAAAATCAAATAAGTAATATCCAAATGGAAATGGAAATGGAAATGGGCAACAACTAGAATTAGTACATAAGTATTCAACTAAAGCAAACCTTGAGCAACCAGACCCCATTTCTGCGACTCAGTTGACAAGCTTGACCTCAAACGAGCCGATGCTATTGCACTGTGCAACGGTATCATCGTCTCCACGCAACTCAATTCCACAGGTAACCTAAAACCCACGTGCATAATGCATTGAAATAAATTAATGTATACAAACATATAGACAGAAAATGACATGTGAGTGTGCGCTGATGCAGATTTTGCGAGTATTTGTTCACCTTGAGACGATAGAGAAACGCTTATTAACGGAGGATTCAGAGGCAGTTTTGAAGGTTGAAGAGTGGGTGGAGGTTGGGGAATTCTTGTTGAGTTTTACAGCAACAGTTTGTAATCTAGAGGATAATCTGGAGAGTACTCTCGAAGATGCCATTTGGAGACGGATGAAGAACGAATAGACAGTGACGAGCTTACAATTGGGAGGGTTTTGAAAGGGGAACGAGTTTGAATGGCCACCCACCAAACAAGTTTATGTTTAGATGGCACCAAATTTTTTTAAAAGATAAAAGAATTAATTATTTAAAAATCTCAAATGACTACTTTACCCTCTTTTTTATAATCAAATAAATGAAGAATTTTTTAAAAGTTCAAGATTTTGAACCTTTAACCTCGTGGAAAAAAAATGATTCCCACACCATTGGGACATTGAACAATATTATTTGTTTTATTGTATCTTGGCAAATTATATTCAAATTTAGAAGGTCTAAGAATTCGAACCTTCAACCTTGAAGAAAAAGTTTATTAGAATGTTTTCCTCACCACTAGGATATTGAAAAATATTATTTATTTTATTACAATAACATATAT